TAAGCAAAACAAAGAACGATGGGTGACGCGAGGCTTCTTACACAGCACTGACATCAGGCTCTGCTCTTACTCATCATTGCACAGTCTGACAGCTGGCTAAAACACTGATATTACTTCTCTTTAAACGCATTAACATCAACCATCCTGTTAGTCTCAAGCATTTTTGTTCCTTCTGCTTCAAATTATGCAGCAAGAAGCTCCGCTTTGATTTAAAACGAGGAAGTTAAGAAAAGAAAAAGCTTCTGATGAGTCTGTCATCTTTACACAGCAGTCGTGACTTTATCGTTCATGTTTCCAGTCATGCCATCACTCACTTTGTTTACATCATGTGTTCGTGTGTGTGTCAGTCATGCCACTTTGTTTACATCATGTAGTGACTTGTTTTGTTTATTCAGGTATGATAAACCTCATGTCACCACACAGGAGTTAAGACTGTTCAATAACAGGAAGTGTGTGTGTTTGTACTGACGTGCACTCCACGTAGAGCAGGCTGATCTTGCAGTGGCACCGCTGGCGGATCATCTGGCTGCAGGGGGGGCAGGCGCCTGGGTGACAGGGGCGGGGGCAGGAGTGAGGGCAGCCGGATGGGCGGGGCTTAGAGCAGCCCTCCTCACACACCTCACACTGCAGAGAGATGAGATGAGGTGAAGCAACCAGTAGGATGACTGTGAGTAACAAACACCAGGACACGTCACGTTTTCTCACAGCTCGCGGAGTTCCTCAGGGCTCTGTTATCGATCCTCTAGCTTTTAATTACTAAAATATATACATGCTTACAAAAGCACAAGGTGCCTCATACTTAACAACTGTACTCTATAAATTACCCGTTTACATTTTAATTGTGCTTACAGATTGTATCATCAAGGGCCTGGCTTCTGTAACTGACAGGTGGATGATGACATCAGCTATTTGGAGTCCCTGGACGTCACCTCGGCGCATCGGAGCATTTTTAATGCAATTATCTGACCAATAACATGGCTGCTGTGTTTAACTTTACCAACAGGTGGTTCAAGACGTCTGAGCTCCAGTTTTGGTGAAATTTGAGGATTTTATTTGAATATTAGAGGAGCAGCTACCAGGTTTCTGTGCGACGGCAGCCTGTGGATCCAGAAAAAAGTCCAGAATCCAATGAATCCAAAATTAAACACAATATTTCCAGGATGTTTGTGATCATACTGGATGATGTTTTGTTGGTGACTGTAGCTTTATTAGTGCAAACAAAAACAAGGGGATTTTCTGTTACTGATGAAGTCTAAGTGTGAATGTATTGCTACAAGGTGCTGCCAGCAGCAGCATCACAGTGCAACAGCAGTGACACAGCATTACATCCTGGAGTCCAGGTCGTGTTTTCAGTAAAGTACAACATGAGTGTAACACTTTAACAACAGAGTAACTAAATCTTGTAATAAATTACATTTAATGTGTTAGTGGTAACCAGTGTTGGTCAAGTTACTTGAAAAAAGTAATCAGTAACTAATTACTGATTACTTCCCCAAAAAGTAATCCCATTACTTTACTGATTACTTATTTTCAAAAGTAATTA